ACATTTCTTTAGTTGTTATCAGTTACTATGGTTATCTTGTACTTTATCATTGTTCTTTGAACTGCTTCAGTAAATTAGCCAGATAGTATATTTTCGTTATTTTGAATGTGTCTTATTTACTGATAAGGGAAAGTTATGATTTTTTTATACTACCAAGCGTGCCTGTATGAGTATGTCTACAAATCAACCAGCTGTGCAATAGCATTAATCTGTGATTCAAGGTTTATTTATACCGTTTACTATAGTGATCCGCTACAAAATGTAACTAGTGTAGCACCCTCCTAGGAAAGCATGTTAATCACTTCTTAGTTAAAGAGCTGAATAGTAGTCTGGTATAATAGCCAGAGGGGTTAAATTTGGGTCAGGGCTGAGAGGCTCTGCAAATCACTTCCCTGAAACCTCCCCCTGATCTAGAGACTTGGAGAAGTCTCTAGAATTCAGTGAGAGGGGGTGAGGAGGAGCTGGTCTTCACTCTCAATGGATCTTGGTCAATCCCCAAGCATAAGACTTGCTATGGGGTCAGGACAGCCCTTAAGAGTGACCAAGCTCAGTAGCAGGAGAGTTCGGGTGGAAGATAAAGTGAGCAGGATGGAGTGAGAAGACTGGGAGGGGGTCCAGGAGAGGGGCCTACCTACAGTTGGAGGAGCTGGAAGGGAGGATCTCTCAGTCTCACTGTCCCCTGAGAGAGGACAGCCTGGGAAGCAGGTAAGGAGCCATCCAAAAATAAGGTCTGAAGCAGGGGCGGACTGACCATTTGGGAGCCGGGCACTGCCGAGGGCCCGGGGTCAGTAGGGGGCCTAATGAGATGCCCCTGGTACCTTTTCATAGGCTTTTTTGGGTGTGCTTTGAGTGTGGGCAAGGACACAGGGACCCCATGATCCCTTGTTGCCCGGGGGCCCCATGAGTTGTCAGTCCACCCCTGGTCTGAAGGTAGCCATCAACCCACAAGCTTGCAGGAGAGACTGAATGAGTAATCCCACACTCTCTGGGCTAGTCAAGGGGAAAGGGCATTTGGGTGGGAACCTGACTAGCCCCCATTTGGGACTGCTGATCTGAGGGAGGCAGATTCTGGGTCATCTTGCCCAGTGATTCTCCTAGGCAGCTGGGTGAGGAGGAAATTTCATCTGGGGTCTTTTTTGGGGTTTGAGTGGCTGGAGAGCTCTCAAAGAAGAGAAACCCTTCTGAACACTTGTGCATAGTTCCAGGAAGTTAACAGTTAACAGTTTAACATTTCCTTGGGCATTCCATGTATCCCTCCTCCCTATACAAGTTATTAACCCCTTAATAAAAATCACACAAAAAAAAAGTTCAAGGACTGTTTACTGTATTTGGAGCGCAAGGCTGGAAGAAATGTGTGTTGCCTGGTTGTGCAAAACTATGGGGGGGGAGGGCAAATCTCTAGCGACTCCTAAGGGAGTAGTGCTACATTAGGATGCCCTTAAATTTCATACAAAATATTTTGATTATTTTACATAGATCTTCCCTTTTAGAATCAATCAACTAGTCAATAAAACAACAAAATGAAAATACATGCATTTGCCTAAAAATGTAAAGATATAATACCGACAAGGGGCTCAAACTGCAGTTAACAGAAGAATTAGTTATATCTAATGGAATACAGGAGAGTAGCAGTTACTGCCATACATATTGAAGCTTTGATTAGGAATATGTTTGCATAGAATTGCTGGTCCACACCAATTTTCAAGTGTTAAACATTTTCTTGTTTCAAGCAACCAGATGATAATTCTTTATATAAAGTGGAACTTCACTCTCTCAATCAACATTGGCTATTTGTAATCCTTATACTGCTAGCATTAGTAAATAGATAGGAAAGTCTAGTATAACATATGTTTTGTCTTACACTTTGTTTTGCCTTTCTTCAGCTACTTCCTGGTTTCCTGCCTGAGCTAAGAGCAGACGGATTCCAGTAAGTAAATGCTACATGAATCATCTGCTCTTACTCAAGATAGGGGTGTTTTTCAAAATTATTTCTCAGCAAAATAATGAATGGAGAGATGGATGGATGGGTGACTTTGCTTTGAATATTAACCACTTTAGCTCCAGAAGATTTACCCCCCTTTCCTGACCAGTCCATTTTTTGCCATACAGTGCTACACTACTTTAGCTGACAATCATCCAACACTGTACCCCGAAAGAAATTAATTAAATAGCATTTTTGGTTTGTGGTGCTAAGATGCAGTGCAGTTCCACTTTAAGTCAGAAATTTCTTATATAGCTCACAAAAAACAGCAAAACTCTGTAGGGCAAGGAGTAAGAGAAGTATTCTGAACAATACAATTTGTGGTCCTACAAAGAGCATATGAACAAGAATACAAATACAGTTAGGCAATAGGTAATTTCCATGGACCTGTGGGGGTCTTGCAGAATGAGAATAAAATCATACAGAGCAAAAGGAAGGAAAGAAAGGCATGCTTTCATTGAATAAAAGCTGTTACACTACTCCCCAGGCAAACAAAACCCAGGAGGTCACCTTTATGAGTGATTCTACAATTGTGGGGCCTGTTTGAAGCCTGATGGGGAGTGTGCGACAATAGTGTACCAAATACTGCCATAGTATGGAGGGAGAGGGAGAGATGGACGAGGGCTGCTTCAACCTGAAGATAGGGGAGTTTCATCAGTTGAGACTGAAGATAGACAAAATAGGAGGGAGAATGGTGAATTAAAAAAGGGGGGATAAGTGGATAGTGGTAGAAAGAATTTTTCTCTTTCCCAGGGGCCACATCCCCAAGTCAGCTGACAAAGTAGAAAATGGCTAAACCACGACAAAGCCATGGTGAATCAACCATTATCTGCAGGTAGGTCTCAGTCAGGGGCAGACTGACCATTTGGAAACTTGGGCACTGCCCGAGGGCCCGGGGTCAGTAGGGGGCCGCATGAGATGCCCCTGGTACCTTTTTCATAGGTTTTTTGAGTTTGGGCAAGGACACAGGGGTCCCATGATCCCCTATTACCCAGGGGCCCCATGAGTTGTCAGTCCGCCCCTGGTCTCAGTATATAAAAAACACTTCCAGGGCCTCCACATCTTACGAAATGCCTCTTCAGTGTTATGTAGGGTGGCAGACAGTTCCTCCATATGGAGGAAATAATTCACTTTTGAATACCACAATGACCTAGTCAGTGGTTGCATTTGGTTCCATAGAAGAGGGATACATGTTCTTCATAAAATTAATTGTTAAGGTTCCATATTTCCAGAGGAGTCTCACTGTCAGGTGAAGACAAGCAGCTGGATTCCCACTTATGTCCACAGATGTCAATAGAAATGTTTTTGATGGTGGCAGTGTGTGTTGAATTCTACTGAAATCTATTTTTACCATTTGTTTGCTTTAAAAGCAGGAAAAGATCTAAATAGTTAGTGGCAGACTGCTATGGTTAACAGCTGATGGGAAAGTGGTGAAAAGGTGGCACAGTTGCCTAATGTTCAGTCAGCATTAGAAGGGGGACCCTCCTAAAAAATTTAAATTAGTAGCAATCGAGTTATTCTAACAATAGGACAAGTCCACTGTTGCATTGTAACTCAGAGATCATAAAGTCAATTTCCACCAGGGACACCCTCTGCAGAGAGCTTGATTGATCCCTCAGTGTCTAAATGGGTTTGCTCTGGATGCAATTGATACAACACAGTATTTGTAGTTTATTGGTTTTAACCATACTGACCTGGCCATAAAGGAATATTAGAGCCTTTATAACTATGGATGGGAGATTAAGTTAATAATAGTATTATTAGTATAATTATTAATGATCATAATAATAATAACAACATACCCCCAAACTGAAAATGGGCAGCACTTATGAGATCTTTGCTCAAGGCCTATCTAATATGTTACAACAATCTTGTGAGCTGCCATGGTAGAGCCCTTCACGATGTGTATTTTACATTCTATCTTTATTGCATGATTCCTTCCTTTACAGCTCATAGCATTTTTCTGCATCACTTCTTTATTGTTTCCCTTGTATTAATGATTTATGTTCTTTAAATATGTTCTCTATTCAAGCAGCTATGACTGCCTTAACACTGCAGATTACAACCTGGCACTTTGCCTCTCTAATATAATGGTCTTTGAACTGTCCATCTCTTCTCATGACCCTATCAGATCATTGATTCAACATGAGAGGTGCTGATATGAAGCTAGAACATAGAATGATGCATATCTGCAAGGAATCCCTTGAGACAATCAGTTCAAGATAAACATTAATGGAATTTCTTATCAAACCGCCGCCCAAAAAGAAGGTCAATGTGAAGGTGTTAGAAGCAACGGATTAGGGGAAATCAAGAATTTCTGCTGTAATTTGTTGCCTGAGGATTATGGAAGGTAAGAGGTACAATCCCAATATAGAGAGATTTATCAAGTAGACCGTGTAGGAATATGACATGTTTTTATACATCTTCACTATAGTTGTATTTGCTATTTCCTCTGCTTTACCCAACATCTTTAAAGCAAATCAGTTCTGTGTGAAGCAAGGCAATGGTGCTGTGCAGAGCATGTTGTAATTCAATAAAGGCATAGCTTTTACTAAAATAAAACATGGTCTATATAACAGTTTCTGACACTTTGTATTGTGCTTGAATGAGATAAAGAAGGCATCTTGTATGTTGATTAATGCATTAACTAACTGACCAGAGGATGCACCTCTTAGGCTCCATGTACACAGGACACTATGGAAACTGACTGCTGGAAAATGTAGGTTAAAAAACGTCTGTTTAGCTGCGTTTGCATAACGCGTTTATGCACGTTTATGTGCGTTTGCGTTTAGAAGCGTTTTTTAAAGATAAGCACAGGAGAACCTCCCAAATGCCCAGAAAAGTAGTTAATTAATAACTATTTCAGACTATTTCTGAGAAATACAGAGAGTAGAAGCAGAGACAGCAGTATGTCTTGAAATTAGCTTAGGTGTGAGTTGCTCATTAACATTTCTTTTGTTTCCAAGGGTGGGAAGGTGTCTGGTGGATTGAGTCATTAAGGCCACCTGGCAGGGGGTCTTCATGAGGAATTTGAGGTGTGAATGGTCATTAACATATCTTTTGTTTCCAAGGGTGGGAGAGGTCTGAGGTGTGAATTGGTCATTACAGTGTGTGACAAGCTTGGTAGGAACATCCTGTTTTCAGTGTTTTGTCCATCTGAGTACCTTAAAAATGCTTTGCATGCATTTATCATGATGAAAAAGGCTCTGGACAGCATCGGGAACTAGAAGAGTTTAAAAAAATTTCAGACGCAAACGCTTATATAACACGATTTACCGCGTTTAGCTGCGTTTACAAGCATTTTGTGTTTGAAATGCTGATACAATTGACTGCTGAACGTAAGTTTTCTGCATTCAAAAAAACGACTGTAAACTCAAATACCTGTAAACGACTGTAAACGATGATGTGTACATGGACACATAGGAAAACATTAGGGAGAGTTCAGGGGCTGCTGAAAAAAAAACAACACTGAACAGCTCCTAAACGTGAGTTTATCAGCTGCAGTGTACATGAGCCCTTATGGCCATCTGAGTGAACAGTCATGGACAGTAGTGGCGCAATGCTGCTTATCTTAGTAAAGGAAGGTGGTGGTGGTGGTGGTGGTGAGGAGGGGAGGGGGGGAGAATAGCTATAAATGGTCAGGCATTATATGTTGCAGGTTAACAGTTCTAAGATGTAGGTGGCTGCACTAGTTTTCATTTTTCATTCTAAGAACACTTTCATCCAGTATAGAAAATGCAGTGTCCTTGTCAATTTCGGGGAGGTGAACTAAAGGAAAGCGAGTGAGTGAGCATAGCCACCCAGGGACAGGAAGTATATTATTTGTTAGATTACCCTGTTAAAATAAAGTAAAGGGGGGCGCATGCGCGGCCGGCTCACGGATGGACGCTAGGCTGTGAGCGCTCCGTCCACCTGCCAGCATCAGAGCGGCACACACCGGCCCAGGGAGTCAATAACCATACTGTGACATAACCGGAGGGTGCCCGCACCTCTCTGACCATGCCCCGCAGGAGAAAAACCCCGGAGCAGCCGGGGAAACTTACTTTATTCTTCCCGGCGCTCAATCCGGGAATCCAAGATGGCGCCGGCTGCAGCACCCAGGGAGAAAGCAGGAGACACGAGGGGGACTACATGGCCCAGCAAGTAGACGCCAGGCTGAGACATCCACTCTATCCAGGGGACCCTGGTGAGTTGTCACCACCACTATCCCCCACGACCAGTAGCCCAGCCAAATCTCGGCCACGACTTGACCATGACCCTGACCCCACATGTCAGGCCCAAAACTTCCCGCCTCAGTCAACTTCCACAATCCTGCCTGACATAGATTCATTCCCAGCGTCAGACCAACCGCTGACGGAAATCTCCATGAAAAACATGTTGACACTATTGCGGCAAACCTTACATAACGACATCTCAGTATCGCTACACCAAATTACTAATGCGGTACAAAAACAAGAACGCAGAATACGGCACATCGAACTTAATATGGGGGACGTAATATCTGCACATAATGATTTGATCGATGCCCACGCGGACCATTCATCTGACATCGAACAAAATAATTTAAAACTAGCTGACCTGGAAGATCGCTCGCGTCGCAACAACATCAAATTTAGAGGGATCCCTGAATCAATCACAGGCGAGGCGCTATTGCCCTATATACAGCAGTATATCCAACTTCTTATCCCATCACTCCCTAATCTGGAGATGGCGATAGATCGAGCACACCCGCTACCAAAACCCTCATTTCTGTCAGCATCTATTTCAAGAGATGTACTGGCCCGTATTCATTTCTACCACATTAAAGAAAGAATTATGACGGCTGCTAGAAATCCACCCCCGCTGCCACCATCACACACTAATCTCCGACTGTACGCAGACCTATCCAAAGCCACACTTCTCAACAGGAAAAAAATTATTTCCATTACCAAAGCTTTACGAAATCATGGCATAGCGTACCAGTGGGGTTTACCCACAAAGCTAACAGTAAGACATCAAGGAAGGATCTATACAATTAAATCCCTGGAAGCTGGCCTGGAACTACTCAAAGTATAGAGCATCTTACCCGCGGATGCACAGGAAACGACATCCGCCTCCATTTTACCTATGGAGGCAACATAATCACCATAATGTCACACTTTGCGCTTTGACAAGCCTATACTTCTCCCTAGAGGCCACTCTTTTGCATACCACTATCTGGCGATCGGCCATACCTAATGACTCGTGTTCTAAGTTTCTACAGTTGGCATGACCCCCTCGGAGGTCAAAGCCGGTTCAAAACCCCCAGTTACCAAGTGGCAGTTGTAGCTACTTGGTCTACTTGCATTGTCTGCAAGTTTTTTTTTATCCTTTTTTGTGCTCCTTCCCCCCTTCCACCACAGCACCACCAGCTGCTTATTTACATTCTAAGATATGGAAATCCTACACATCCAGGGAAAACGTCCTCCAAATCCTCCATCGAACCTAACCCACAATACGATAGTCTCACTTCTTTCCTCCTTCAGAAGATACCCACTAAACCACGATCCCCCCAAATAACGACGCTACTATGCAAACACATGGGGAAAACATGTACAAATGATTAATATTACATCCCTAAACGTACGAGGCCTAAACTCCCCATTTAAGAGATCGATGCTCGCCAAAGAAATCCGGAAGTCCCAGGCTGATGTAATCTTTATACAGGAATCACATTTTGCTAAAGACAAAACCCCTAAACTATACCTCCACCATTTCACCCAAATATTTCTGGCGACAAATGTCAAGAAAAAGAATGGAGTTATCACTGCCATAAATGACTCTATTCCATTCCACATTATTTCGGAAACAGCTGATCCGCAAGGACGCTACCATATCCTGATATGTCAAATAAACGACATAACCTACACCTTAGTAAACATCTATGGACCAAATAGCAAACAGCTGAGCTTCTACCACAAACTATACAAGATTGTTGAACGATGTAAACAAGGTAGACTTATTATCGGTGGCGACTTTAATGTTTTGAATAATCCTTCCTTAGACTCCTCCTCCGGTCAAAGATCCACCAAATTAAACCTCAATCTTTTTTTGCATGACCACGATCTATATGATATCTGGAGATGCCAGCACGGCACAGAAAGAGACTATACATACTTCTCCCCTCCACACCTATCGTACTCAAGAATAGACTTTTTCATTACTGACAAGTGGACTTTACAACATGTAACGTCATCCAAAATCGGTACCATATCCTGGTCTGACCACGCCCCTATCAACATATCCTTGGACAGCAAACGACGACCGGCAATCCCGCTTATATGGAGATTGAACTCAACACTCCTGAAGAATCCCGGAGAACCAGAAACACCTGCTAGACGCCCATAATCTTTTCTTTGAAACCAATTCTACACCCGATATCTCTATTACTACGCTCTGGCTAACATATAAGGCATACATGAGAGGTATTCTCATACAACTCAACTCACGCATTAACAAGCAACGCACACAACAAATTGACCAACTACTCAGTTCCATTTAATTACATGAAGAGATCAATAAAAAAAAAACCAAACCCCACCACATTAGCAGCTCTAAATACAGACAGAAACAAATTACGCACCATATTACTCCACGAATATGACACCAATCTTCAAAAAAATGAAAGCCAAATTTTATGCACTCGGGAACAAAACGAACGCATTATTATCTAAAATTGTCAAACAAAAGCGACTTAAAACTAAAATTCTTTCAATCCAACACCCCATCACGCGTTCCCCTCTAATAAACCCACAGGATATATAGCCAACGCATTTGCATCTTATTACCAATCATTATATAACATTAAAGACGATCCAAATACAACCCAACCAACGATTGTATCCATTGAAAACTTTCTATCCAATACTAACTTACCCCAAATTACCCAATCTCACCTTGAAACCATTTCTGTGCCAATTTCTACCATGGAAATTGAAAAAGCCATAAAAAGTCTCCCCCTACACACAATCACCAGGGAACGACGGCTTTACAAACGAATTTTATAAAACATTTGCGCCCAATCTAACGCAACACTTAGCAACCCTATTTAACCTTGTTGCCTCTCGCGGGGAATTTCCCCCTGATATGCTCCAATCAATAATCACTACAATCCCAAAACCAGGCAAGGATCCCCAGCTAGTCCAGAACTACAGACCGATTTCACTTCTCAATACAGATATAAAAATATATGCCAAAATAATAGCCCAGAGACTCCTTCCTCACTTACCTACATTGATTCACCCAGACCAAGTGGGGTTTATACCGGGAAGACAAGCCCCTGACGCTACCAGACGTATTATATCCCTTCTGCACCATCTCGAAACTAATAAGAAACCATCCCTCCTACTGTCGTTAGACGCAGAAAAAGCATTTGATAGAATACATTGGCAATTTATGACATTAACACTCCAAAAATTTGGAATAACAGACTGGATGCTATCGGCAATTCTATCACTCTATTCAAACCCTTCAGCTAAAGTTCTAACTAATGGCACGCTTTCACAATCCTTTTCTATTTCCAACGGGACCAGACAGGGCTGCCCACTATCCCCTATTATTTTCGCACTACTCATTGAACCTCTAGCTTCCAACCTTAGAAAAGACTTAAATTTCACAGGCATCAATTTTCTCCAGAAAGAACATAAAATTAGTCTCTTTGCAGACGATATTATCCTAATGGTTACAAACCCATCCAAGTCGCTTCAGGCAATCCGTACACAGATTGATAGATACGCGGCAGTCTCCTATTATAAGCTTAATGAACCCAAATCGTCTATATTAAACCTCTACACACCCACAGGAACACAAAAAGTTCTCTCACAACGTTTCCCGTTCACTTGGGTAACACACAGTATTCCCTACCTGGGGATTAAACTTTCTACCTCAATTAACCAACTTTACAACAATAACTTCATGCCTCTACTTGAAACTATACCACATGAGCTCAAATACCTCCGTACGACTACATTATCGACACTTGGCAGAATAGCCACTCTAAAAATGTGCATACTACCCAAAATTCTTTACATATTCCGGACACTTCCTATCCCAGTCCCTTCCTCCTTTTTCTCTAAACTACAAGCAATATTAAACAAATTTATGTGGAATTCAAAAAAAACCCAGATATACTACGAACCTACTCATACGTCCACCTTCGAGGGGAGGAGCTGGACTCCCTCACTTGAAATCGTACTATCAAGCTGTTTTGTTGGATCAGATTTTCTTTTGGTGGCATCCTTCCGCTGAGAAGATCTGGTCCACTATGGAAGCATCCATATTCCTACCACATAAAATAACTGACATACTATTCATACCACAAACGGCACAAGCTAAA